TGTGCCTCTGTCCTGTCTGCAAAATGCCGTCAGCTCTGCCCAGCAAACTCGTACTCATGTTTAAGGCTCAGCACATGTGGTGTCTCCTCTGTTGGGCACTTCTCCCTCTGTGCCCACGAAAGCTCTATCCACTGTTGACTGTAGTACTGATTGGAGTTATTTCAATTAGTTGTTTTTCTTCCCAAGTGACCACGCACCCCTGAGGGTTCATCAGAGTCCTGGCACCCAGCCCAGGCCTTGTACCATGTGGAGATCTGGGTATTTGTGGATCATTGGCTATCTGGCCACCTCACCTTTCCTCCCTGATGGTCCAGCCCCTAAGGTGGCCTTTCTTATAGCAACTGGGGCTGCACCCATTTGATGGGGTGCAGGAAGCCCTGTCTGCCTATTCCTCTGCTCCCTTCTCCTATTGTCCCAGCCTGTCCCCAGACCATCATCTGCTCCCTTTCATCAGTCTTTCCCAACAGCACTTCTACACGCCTTAATCCAAACCTATTCTCTATAACTCACTTTCCCAGGCAACATGGCTCTCTCTTCCCTCTGGCCAAATTTTTCAACAGGTTGTCTTCCCCTCCGCCCTCACCCAACTTGTCCAAGGTCACCAGCAGGCAGCTCATCTCTATNTCTGAATGAGAATCTCAGGGTTGCATCAGGAAATCAGATTTACAAACCTCTCTAGGAGATTTCTTTCTTTCTTTCTTTTTGTTTACTTATTTACTTATTTTTCTCTCCAGGAGATTTCAACACAACTGGTGTTTCAATGCAACTAGCATTTGGAGTTGGTGTGGTAGAGCACACTCTCCCACTCCCAGCTGAAGGTGGCCTCTCTGCCCATGTCCCCAGATCTCCACAAGTCTTACCTAAGCAATATATGGGCACAAAAGGAGTAACTGTAATGGTGGCTCTCCAAGCGTGGAGGCAGGCCAGCAGGGGCAAGGGCCATTTCAAACCTCACCTGTGTGTGCAGCCCTTTGCAGTTTACAAAGTCCTTTCACATGGGCTTCTCACTGGCCGTGGCAGGAGCTGGGAAGGCCCAGAGAGGGGCAGTGATCAGCCTTCAGTCTCACAAGACAGAGCCAGGAGGCCAAGGTCTATCACATTACCTGGATTTGCCCTGAATCCAGGGTCCACCCACGATTGAACAGCCAACAGTTATAACTGATTCTTCGTTACAGCCCAGCATTGTGCCAAACACTTTACATGTATTACCTCACTTTTCTAAAAAACGTATAGGGCAACTATTATTATTATTGTATCATATGAACATGGAAATTGAAGTTCAAAGGGGTTATGTAACTTGCCCAAGGTCACACAGAGAGTATCTAAATCAGAGCTCTGCTCTAAACCATGATGTTTTTCTATCCGCTCCCCACCCTCTGGAGGGCACCTAACCATATGGCAGAGTGCTCTAGGCACCTGAACAATAGCTTCCATGGAGTGGTCCCGATTCCAGCTCTGCTACCCTGAGGCAACATGTAAGCTCTTATGAAATCAATATTCCAGCTTACTAGTAGTCATAAAGTGCTAATTAAGGCCAGGAGTTATAATTTCCACCTTATTAAAAAACAATAGAAGATATAGTGAAAAGGACATCCACATATACTACTGGTGGAGGATAAATTGATACAATGCCTTGAGAAAATAATTTGGCAAAATGTATAAAGAGTTATAAAGTGTTCACATGCTTTGACTCAGTAATTCAATTTCTGGGTCCCTCCTCTATGAAAACAATCAGAAACAAATTAAAACAAAGATCTTTCTGAACCACGGTTATCTATTACCATCATTAATACTGGAAGCATCATTTATAGCTGGGGACCAAGCAAAGTAAATATAACTATACACTCAAGCTTTAAACTGCCCTTGATAAGATTTTAAGTATAAAATTATGTACATGCTAATATTACAGCTATATATAAATATGCAATAAAAAGACTAAAAGAAAATGTACCAAAATACTAAAAGTGGGTTTAGTAGTTTCCCTCAAATTTAAAAAAAAAAGTATTTATTTTTTATTTATTTTTAAAGATGACCGGTAAGGGGATCTTAACCCTTGACTTGGTGTTTTCAGCACCACGTTCACCCAGTGACCTAACCGGCCATCCGTATATGGGATCCGAACCTGTGGCCTTGGTGTTATCAGCACCGCACTCTCCCGAGTGAGCCATGGGCTGCCCCCGCCCCAAAATTGTATTTATATGGGCAAAACTAACTTTTTTATTTTTTTAAAGATGACTGGCAAGGGGATCTTAACCCTTGACTTGGTGTTTTCAGCACCATGTTCACCCAGTGACCTACCCGGCCATCCGTATATGGGATCCGAACCCGTGGCCTTGGTGTTATCAGCACCGCACTCTCCCAAGTGAGTCACAGGCCGGCCC